CTGTATCTATTGAGAGCATTATATAGTCTTTGTTTTTGATGCAATTGATATGGTGAAATACATGTATGGATTTGTCTATATTAAGCCTAACTTGCGTTCCTGGGTAACTTGCTGATGTATAATTTTTTTTATGTGTAGTGGTATTCTATTTACTAGGATTTTGTGGAGTATTTTTGTATCAATATTCTTTAGTGAAATTGGTCTGTAATTTTCCTTTTTGTTGGATCCTTTCCTGGTTTTTGAGTTCAAACATCAGGGTGATGTTTGCTTTGTAGAACATGCTGGGAGTGTTCCTTCCTTCTCAGTGTTTTGTAATAGTTTCTGCAGTATATGTATAAGTTCCTCTTCCATGGTTTGATAGAATTCTGGTGCATTGATATACATTTTGAAATACTGTCATCAAACTTTCAAAATGTATATCGAAACAACACACTCTACCCCATGATTGCATTAATGTACGTAGTTACATGATAAGAAATAATAAAGAAAATTTGAAGGGAAAAAAAAAGAATTCTGGTGTGAACTCATCTGGTCCAGGGTGTTGTTTTTTTGGGAGCTTTTTTATTGTTCCTTGAATTTCATTGCTTGACATTGATCTGTTAGAGAGATCTATTTTTTCTGGTTAAGTCTAGGGAAGTTGTATGATTCCAGGTATGGATCCATTTCTTCCATATTGTCAAATTTCTGGGCATAGAGTTTCTTGTAGTAGTCAGAGATAATCTCTTATATCTTTGTGATATCTGTGGTTATTTTCCCTTTGTTATTTCTGATTAAAGTAGAGATCTTACTTTTCTATTTCTAGTTAATCTGGCCAGAGTTTTGTTGATTTTGTTTATCTTTCCTATGAATCAGCTTTTTGTTTTGTTAATTTTCTGAATGATTCTTTTGTTTTCATTTATTTCTGATTTAATTCTGATTATTATTTTTCTTCTTCTAGGTCTGATATTGTATTGCTCTTCCTTTTACACTTCCTTGAGATGATTCGTGACATTGTTGATGTGTGCTTTTTGTTTTTTGGATATAAAAATCTAATGTGATAAATTTGTCTCTTAGAACTACTTTTACAGTATCTCACAGGTTTTGATAGCTTGTGGCTTCCATTGTTGTTATGTTCAAGGAATCTAAAAATTTTTTCTTTATTTCCTGTTTGACCCTGCTGTCAGTCTGCAAAAAGTTATTTAGTTTCCATGACTTTGTTTGGGGTGAAGGTTTTTGTTGGAGTTGAGTTCTACCTTTTTTTTTTTTTTTTTTTTTGCAGTTTTTGGCCAAGCCTGGTATTAAACCCACCACTTCTGGTATATGGGGCTGACGTCCTAATCCTTTGAGCCACATGGGCTACCCTAGTTCTACTTTTATTGCCTTATGTTCTAAAAAAATTCAAGGTATAATGTCTATTTTTAAAATTTTGTTGAGGTTTGATTTGGGCCCTAGGATATAATCTATTTTGAATATGACCCATGGACTGATGAGAAGAACATATATTTATTAGCTTTGGGATGTTCTGTATACATCTGTTAAGCCCAATTGTTCTGAGATTCTATTTAAGTCCCTTGTGTCTTTGTTTAGTTTCTGTTTAATGGATCTGTCCATTTCTGTCAGTGGGGTGCTGAAGTCTCTAGCTATTTTGGTGTTGTAGGATATCATATTGTTCAGAGCATTTAGGGTTCCTTTTGTCAATCTGGGAGCATTTATGTTGAGTGCATATATATTAATAATTGAAATGTATTCTTGTTGTATTGTTTCCTTGATTAGTATACAGTGTCTATCTTTATCTTTCTTGACTTTTGTTGCTTTAAATACATTTGTATCTGCAAATAAAATTGCAACCTCTCCTTTCTTCTAATTTACATTTGCCTGAAATATTGATTTCCAAATCTTCACCCCTAGTCTTGTATTGTCTTTAGATTTTATATGTGTTTCCTGAGGATAGTATATAGTTGGCTTGTGCTTCTTTTATCCAGTCATCTAGCCTGTGCCTCTTTAGTGGGGGAAGTCAAGCCATTCACATTTATTGAGAGAATTGATAAATTGGGTAGAGTTGTTTGTCTAGTTTTGTGGAGGTCTGACACCTAATTTTATTACTTGGGCCATGGTGGAAACTAGGTTTGACCTTTTGTTCTGAATGTCTACTCTGCTAGCAGTCCATTGTGATAGCCTGTGGGTAGTATGGGTCTGGGTATTTCCTGCTAAGCTGGTCTTCTAGTGATAAGTACCCTCCATGTCTCTTCTCACTTGTAAAGTTTCAGCTGAGAAGTCTCCTGTCACCTTGATGGGTTTGCCCCTGTAAGTCAATTGATGCTTAATCTTGGCTGCTTGCATAATTTATTCTTTCAACTTGTTTGAACATGTTCATCATAATGTGTTGAGGAGAGACTCTGTTTATATTGAGAAGAACCAGAGTTTGAAATCCATCTAAAAGGAATGTCAGAATCTTTGTTGATGTTTGAGAAACTTTTGAGTATGATACACACCAGTAGGGCTTCTATACGTTTGGGTCACTCTTCTTTTCCTTCAGGAATACCTGTAATTTATATGTTGGTATGCTTTTTGAAGTCTTATAATTCTCTAAGAGATGGCTCTGCTTTTGCTCTCTTCTTTTCTGCCCTTTAAATGTCGGAGTTAGCTCAAGAGCCTTACCCTATAACTCTGAGATTCTTTCTTCTCCAGCGTTGAATCTGTTATTGATACTTTCTACTGCATTTTTAAGCTCCTCAAATGACTTCTATTCCTTAAGCTCCAATATATGGCCTATACTTTCATCATATCTTTCATTCATTTCTTGGGTCAATTTTTGCATTTCCTTTTGGTGGTTTCCCTTCAATTTTCTTCATTATTTTTGGCATCCATACTCTAAATTTCCTTTTTGTTATTTCCATAACTCCATTATACATGAGATCCTCTATGGTAGCTGACTCATGACCCTTTGAGGGGATTGATTTGTTCTGTTTTTTCAAATTGCCAGAATTTTTTTGTTGGTTCCTCTCATATGTGCTTTCTTCTTGTTTACTTCCTTCACCTATTTTCTCTTCATGCTTCCTCCTTATCCTTAAATTTTCTTCTATCCGTGTTTAGTGTTGCAGTGGCTGAAGGCAGCTGATGAGACGTCTGTACTCCTTCATCTTAAGAGAAATGTGAGCACATTTCCCAAGGACAACTTGCCTCATTTTTCATTTTACTTGCTAGGTCAGTGGTTTACCGTTGTGCAGAAGTGTTGGTACTCAGAAAGGCTCCAGCAGAAAGCATTGAAGGTTGCCAGATGTGGCACTCAGGTTCTCGGTAATGATTCTTAATGTTGTGGGTCATTGAACCCCCATCTGAAAGCTAACAACTAGAGGACAGAACGTTGTGCAGACCCTGAGCTTCTGCACTCCACCTGCAGCTTTCTTTAGACAGATTTGGGTTTTTACTTTGCAAATGAAATAAATTAGAATCAGCTTTTGAACTGACAGTGGATGGGCACTATCATGTGATACCAAGTGCAAGGCAATACAAACAAATAGTTCTGCCCTAAGAGGACTCTCCCATGCTTCTGAGAATCTTCCATGAAAACTTTGGCCATTTGAATTAAAAAAAAAAATGTCTAAAACAAATACAACACTTTTTATTCTTAAGATTGCTGAGGACATTAAATTCTGCTGCAGGTCATACTCCTGTCACATTTAACAAAGAACTGACAACACTGGCAGCTGATCTGGAATCCATCAAAATCATTATACACAGCTTTCTTGTCTTTGGAAGCTGAGAGCCCTAAGTCTTGAGTGCAGAGTCTTGACAATTTTATTGCTTCTCTGCAGGCTAATCCTACATGGGATCAGAGAACAGTCACAATCATCTGAATCTTAGATCATGTTCTTTCTCAAAGTGTTTGTGTGCTGCTGGACTCCAAAGCATTACAGGACACGTCTAGGAGCTAGGGACAAAAGTTCAGAAACACTCTTCTCTCCAGGGACAGATTCCCACTGCCAGTCTGAGCAAAATAGTCGGTGAGTCCACAAGGTATGTAGCATCCTCCCACTTGCCTCTGCTTTCTTTCTGCATTCTGACTGAAAAATCACAGAATGCCTTGACTACTCTATGACCCATAGAGTAGCCAATTGCCATTTTTTTCCAGCAGGCATAAGCCAATCTGAACACCCAGTTAAACATTTTCAGGGACTGATAAAGGCATCTAGCTTGTTGCTCCAAACACTGAAAGAAACTGGCCCCTTCCCTGAGCCAAATTCCTGAAACTCTCATATTATCTCTACACCTACCCCCCTCACTGTGGGCATTAGCAGGTAGAACACCTGTTTTTCTGCAGTCTGGAAGGTTCACTGCAGCCCACTCTGCACTGTAAATTTACACTCTGCACAGTGTAAATAGCACTATTATTATTAACAAGTGCTTTGGACTGATCATTGTCATGTTCAGTGCTTCTTTCTTTGAACTCTAAGGCCCCATCTTGGGACTGTTTGGTGCTCTCCCTTGTGAAAATTCCCTTATTTCGATTTTTTGGTGATTCCTCAATATAGGACTGGGTTTGTCTGGATACAACAGCAACTGAAAAATAAATCATAAATCTTTACCCCTTTCTACAATTCATAACCCATTCAACCTCCCCACCAAAGACACATGTGCATTTCCATTGTCTGTCTCCACCAGAAGTGAGCAATCCCATGTCCTTCCTACCCCTCCTTGTGTCTTGCTGGGAGAGCTCTAGGCTTGGCTGTGGTGGCCACCAGACCAGGCTCTACAAAGTGTGCAGGACTCTCGCCAGCAGATGGATGTTCCCTGAGATGTTGTTATCCCACCTGGACTGCTGGCCTGTAAAGACAAAGCGAGGCAGAGTGGGGCCTGTGCGATGTTGCTGGGCATGGGCTTATAACACCCAGGAGAGGTAGAATTAAAGCTGCATCACTTGCAGCTAGAAGGAAAATCAGAAGGCAACTTGTTTATAGATGAAGAAATTCAGACCTAAAGAAGGGTTAGGCAGATCCAGCACTCAGGCAGAGGTTCAGACTTCAGCTTCTGGGTGGCAGGAGACCCCTTTGCAACCACATTTGTCCCTCAAAGAGATCCATTATTAGATGAGGATGGGTCTCTTTCAGGGCTTGGTAGAGTCGATCTTTGCAGGTCTGGTCCCAGGACTTACTGAAGCTGAACAGCTTTCGCATCTGGTCTGGCCTTGTGGCCTCAGCCCGCACTTGTTCATACTGCTCCTCGTTCAGCACCTGTCCGTGCAGCTTGTCCAAGACAGAGTCCACTGATGTCACTCGTGTAATCAGGGGCTCTCGATGCCTGTCCACAAAGTGCAGTAAGGCTGGGGTATCTGGGAATGAAAGTAAGGCTGGCAACAAAGAAAGAAGGGCTCCCACCACATCCTCCACCTCTCAACCCCCCTCCAGCTCTTTCTCCTGGTTGCATCCATGGCTGCCTTCTCCCTCTGGAAAGGCACCTGACCATCAGAAAGGCATCTCTGCTCTCCCTTATATCAGCATCTAGCCAGGTATTCTGACCAAGCAGAGAGTGGTTTGGGGGTTCATCATGGGAGCATGTGAGGTCATTGAGTGGGGCTTCTAGGACCTGTGTGGGCAGTAGCAATGAGAGGTGGAGGGGACTCTGCCCCAGGGCATGCACCACTCTCTCAGGCATAATACTTGTGAGGTTTGCAATAATGGAGCCCCTAATTCTCTCTTCCCTTCTCTCCAAAACCAGATAGTACACACTGGAACTACCCTTGGCTCCTGTGGTCTCTAAGAGCTGTTACTGACCTACAGCGGCTGGAGGACCCAGAGAAGCTGCAGGTCGGAGATCTCCTGCAGAAAAACAGATATGAATGAGCACCTGTTACAATACTAGTTATTAACACACATGACACACCCCCAGGCTCCAATAACTCCTGAGATTCTCAGATGCAGAATCTCTTCCTTATGCATTTGGGGAAACTGAAGCCCAGAGGATATGACCGTAGACTAATAAAGAGAGAGAAGTCATCTGAATGAGCAATAGCAATTTTTCCTACACATTGCAGAAGTGATTTTATCCAGTCTTTGCCTGACCTGAATCCCTTATGGAGTACTAATCAAATCTCTTGCTAGGTAAAACTTAGAACTATTTGACATTCAATTTGTCCAAGCATTGTGGGTAATTATAAAACAAAACAAAAACAAAACAACCCCCCCAACTATTTGTCATCTCCTTATTCTGAGTTGAAATTCACTTCTTTGTCCTTGTTTGTCCTTCTAGACCAGTAGTTCTCAATCTGTGGGTCACAACCCCTTTGGAACTGTATTAAAGGGCCATGCCATTAGGAAGGTTGAGAACTACTGCTGTAGACTCACACAGAGTCACTCACACAAGCACTTCTCCCAAGATCACCCAGCAAGTCATTACCAAAGTGGGATTCAAACCCAGGACTGAAGCTGAGGCTGGTTAGTTCTCTACCTGTGGCTGCACACAGGCCAAGACTAGGTAAAACCCACCTTCTTTCCACCACAGTGTATAGCCTGTTTGTAGCAGCTCAGGAGGCAGCTCCATATTTTTGACAGATGATTAAAGGTAGTTGTCCCTAAAAAGACTGTTTGGGAGATTTTGGTTCTTAGTGTGGAGGTGTTGGATTAAAGCTTTTGTGATTTCTCCATTCCAGAAAGTTAATTATTTGGGCAGGGTGTGGTGGCTCGTGCCTATAATCCCAGCACTTGGGAGGCTGAGGCAGGTGAATTGCCTGAGCTCACAGGTTTGAGACCAGCCTGAGCCAGACTGAGACCTCGTCTCTAAAAATAGTTTGGCATTGTAGTGAATGCTTGTAGTCTCAGCTACTTGGTGGGCTGAGGTGAGAGAATTGCTTAAGCCCAGGAGTTTGAGGTTGCTGTGAGCTATGACCCCATGGCACTCTACCAAGAGTGACAAGTGAGACCCTGTCTCAAAAAAAAAAAAGAAAGCTCATTATTTGATTCCCTCTTGTCTGCTTGGAAAATGCTGAATGATCCAGAGGAAAGTACCTGCTATTGCCAAAATTGGCTTAATCCATATGTAACCACATAACCATCTAGTTCTTATTCTTTGTATCCCTGTATCTCTCATCCAAGCTATCATGAGAAACTTTGCCACAAGCATTGTGGATGTCAAGATGTGCTACTTCAAGGGCAAGGTGGAGACACCATGGTGCACAGGAGAGAACGCAGGGTTTAGAGAGTTGGGCTGACGAGTTTAAATTCTGATCACAATTGTTCTGTGACTTATTAAAGTCACCTAATTTCCCTGGGCTATTTCTTGACATCAATAAATTGTGATAATGGGCTGGGCACTGTGGCTCATGCCTGTAATCCTAGCATTCCAGAAGGCTGAGGCATGAGAACTCCTTGAGTTCAGGTGTTCGAGACCAGCCTGAGAAAGAGTGAGACCCTGTCTCTACTAAAAATAGAAAAATTAGGCAGGTGTTATAGCAGGTGCCTGTAATCTCAACTATTCAGAGCCTGAGACTAGAGGATCACTTGATCCCAGGGTTTGAGGTTGCTGTGAGCTAGGCTGGTGCCACAGCACTCTAGCATGGGCAATAGAGTGAGACAATGTCTTAAAAATAAAAATTGTAATAATACTCACTGTCACACACATGTGCACACAACATCACTGCCTTTCTCCCCCCACCCCTTCCCCCAGCTCTAGACTCCTGTGACCTGTCCTGGTTTACCTGGTTTCACCAAGGCCTTCCATACAACAGTCCTATGTTTCTTGTCTCTCATTTTCAGCCTGAATCCTGATCCCACATGGGCAACATAGAACTCAGAAAACATCTGGGCTTCTCCAGGGCTTCGATAGCAGAGCTCCAGTTCCTGAAGAGACAAAGAGTTGCCATCCTCTTCATCCTGCAAGTGAGGTGCTTTCCATACCTGACATCTTCGTGGCCCTGCTCAACCCCATAGGGACACTAAAATCAGTCACCACCATCAGACACTGTTCTTTTCCTAATTTTCCACAAATCCTGACTCTAAGGACACAGCTGGTACCTCATGGATGAGTCAGAGCTCCTCCGTAAAAGTAATGTCTGTCATTCTAAGTCATATCTTCTCTAGGATCTTGAACTAGATCCTTCTTCCTCCACCTCTCCCATCTTGAATCCAAACCCTCATTCCTCCAGCCCAATGTCTGTTTTCCCAATGGATCCTAAGCTTGACCTGATTTCAATTAACAGTAAGTTTATATGTCTCACCTTTCCTAAGTCACACGCAAGACAGACATTTGGGCTTCTCTTGGGCTTTGATGACAACCTGATTCCCAACTTCTTATAGACATGGTCCTTCTCCAGTTTTCACAAACTCAGTAAATGGTATTACTGTCCACTGAGCACACAGGTTCTAAATTAGGGTCATCCTCAACTTCTTTCCATCTACATCCAATCCCCCAAGTACTGTTGGCTCTACCTCCAAAATATACCCTGAATCCATCAACTTTCCTCCATCTCCATTGCTACTTCCCTAGTGATACCATCTTCACCTCTAACCTGCATTATTGCTATAACCTTTTTCAGAGATGAAGTCTTGCTATGTTGTCCATGCTGGCCTTGAACATCTAGGCTCAAGAAATCCTCCTGCCTCAGTCTCCCACCTCCATTATGGTTGGCTTTGCAACAGCCTTTTGACTTTCTTTTTGCTTCCACCCATTCTCACCCAGCTGACCCGAGTTTTACATAAGTCAAGTCTTATATAATATTACCATGTTTAAGACCCTATAAGAGTTTGCCATCACACTTAGAACAAAGTCCATACTTTGTACAAAATCAGAGTTAGGCCACTGGGCCCTTGGAGACTCTGCCTCTGATCTGACCCAATTCTTGTTACATGCACTGAATTTGCCACATTTGGCTCTTTTTGATCACCTGAAGGTGTCCAGCTAGCTTCCACCTCTCTGCCTCTGCATACATTCCTCTGCCTGAAACCTTCTGCTGTGAATCTCCAATGCCAGAACCCTTTTTGTCACTGTGATCTCAGCGTAAATGTCACCTCCTCAGAGGAGTTTCCCTTGACCACCCCATATAAAATAACCAGTCACTCTCTTACATCACTATATTTTCTTCACAACACTTCATAGTACTTGATCACTATTAGTTTAATTATTTATGTAGGTCTCATCCACCAGGATATAAGCTTCCCAAGAGCAGGGATTAGTCTAAATCATTCACTGAATTGTCTCTACTAAAGACAGCCAATACTTGGCACTGGGTGAATACTTGCTGAGTGACTGAATCATGTCTTTCTCTCATTAACAACGGAAACACCAGGAAATTCCATGAAATCCTTGTGTTTCTCAACTGAAAAGAAAAACATCCCTTCCTTCTAACTACTGGATTTCTAGTCCATCTGGAGACATTAAATTAGGGATTACAAGGGATCCTTCAGAAACCACTGACTTCAGAGATGGACAGCTTCTGCCCAAGATTTTAAACAAGGTAAATGTTCCGATTCTAAAACATTCTTTCCTATCCCTTTATGCTACAACTAATGTTGCTCTATTATTCTACTCTGATGCTCTCTAAAACACTAATATGATCCCTCTATCTTCATCCTAATATACTTTGTGATTCCCTGTGGTTCCCTTCAACCACTTGGGAAAAATAAAACTCTCTTGCGAGTTTTCCCAGACTTTGCTACTGCTCAGGATATAAGTGATTGCTGGACCGACCTTACTTGGCAAAGATTTATTATCCAGTTATAGTGGAATTTTCATGATAGCAAATACTTCCCGCTGACTTACAATAGAATGATCTGTTACCAGGGGAAAAAAAAGTGCAAGGACCTGGATTTCTTAAATAGACCCAGGTGGATTCTGATTACATTTCATTGACCGGGTTTCATAATGTAGGCCCCTGGTTTGGACTTGTTACAATGATGAGTAGTCCTTTAGTTTTTGGTCACCGCCTGTGTTACTGGTATCCAGTGTATATGTCCTGGATCTTAAACGCCACATAGCAGTTGTCATGTCTGATGGTTCAAAGACTCTTCTCATGAGACATGGAGAAAGAAAGAAGGATTAACCCTGGCTCAGCTACTATTACCAGTAAGGCTTTGCTGATCCTAAGCAGCAAAATGTGGGCAATGGTGAAGATTCAGACATCATGGATTAATGCTCAGGGGCCCAATTTCATCTGATTTTGGCCAAAAGGGTGGGTTGAGAAAGCACAAAAATCATCTGCTGACAGGCAGGAAGGGATCTGAGGCTCAGAGCATGACCTCAGTGTCACCACAATCTCACCAAGAGTCACAGTACACCCATGTTGTCCTCCAGTCTGACACACACTCTCACAGAACATCCACTGCAGACAGGCCACTGGGCAGCCCATGACATGCCACACATGTCCCTGTGCTAAATGAGTGACTGTTGCTTCTTTAGCAATCGTGGCTTTGTCCTGCTTCAGTCTGCCTTCCCCTGGAGAGAAAGGATTCCTTGAGCTTCCCAGTGGTAGTACTGCCTCTGCCTTCTAAAAATGCCCAATCTAGAGCAAAGCTCTGTTTCCTTAGATCTTCCCCAAAGTTACCCAACAAGGCCCAAGTCCTTCACGTAGGTTCTTTCTAATACCCCTTTATTGAGACAGCACATGGTTTCCCCCGAGTGTGTTCTGTCACAATGAGTGACAAGCCCAGGACTGGGCTGCATGTGTGTTCCTGTGGGTTTCCACTGGAGGGTATTGGCACCTTGAGTCCAAGCACTTCCCTGGGACCCCAAGTCCATCTCCCTTGTCCTCCTCCTCCTGAGTGTACTCCTACCTCTCTTTCCTTCCTTTCCCCCAACTCTGCAATGTTCCCACTTACCCCAAGCCCCTCTACCTTTCTGCCCAACCCCTCCCTATTTCCCCCCTACCTAGGACAGCCCTGAGACCTGTCCCACAGGGATTCCTGAGCATGCCCTCTGATCTTAGTGGCCAAGTGGCAAACACAGGGATGCTCACTTTGGGGATTATTTCCAGCTTTCCTGAGCCAGACATGGTGTAGCGAGAGCCCATATACAGTGAGGTCAGCAGGTTTGGCTTGTGTATTCGCACAAACTGGAACTTCTTTTCTTCATCATCAATGGCCTAAGGAGCACACAGAACAATCACTAAATCGGGATTCTGCCTTGTGGTGGAATCTGGTCTGAATAGGTGAGACAGTGCACCTCTGTGTTTGTGGGGCAGGGGTATTATAGCATCCTTGTACTTCTCTCCCCCCAATCACAGACACAAAGAGAGCCCCACACTGGGCCTCTGCTATCTTTATGGTGGCAATAGGATCATTCTAGGAGAAGAATTGAGAATAGGGAAAGGCTGGTTTTAGGCGCAGGGCCCGCCCACCTTTTGACTCCTGGAAAGGCGCTGCAAACTGCTATGCAAAGACCAGTGATGAAACATCTAACCCAGCTGGGGGGACCCTGTAGAGTCAAGAGCCCAGCCTGCAGCTAAGCTGGGGGCAGGACCGTCACCCACTGAGAGTTCTTGCTTCTAAGAGGCTGATCCTTATTCCTAGTCCAGCTCTGGGGGACTTTCTGCTGCATTTGGTATTTACCGTCAGCCTACCCTGGCCCAGTCTTTTTGGCTTTTAGTGTTACCTTGCGAATGCAGCAGTCATTTGGGATCAGGTACAGGTGGAATTTGTCCTCCTTATGTTGTGGTTGATGGTAGAGCAACACCATGGAGGTGATGGGAAGGAAGGGCAGGGCAGCATGGAATATTCTCAGTAGAACTCCCATAGGGGAGAAGCTGGGGTTTTCCAGGATGATGTAATGTGGCTCCACCTGGGCTGGCTTCTCCAGGAGCATCCCTTCCTCTTTAAAGTGTGCCACTTGGAACAGGGAAACGTCCACCTGGCCCCCTGTAAAGGAATAGAATACAGAGGCATGGATTAAGTGCCCTCACTGAGTCAGGGTTAGCTGGCACAGTGTGATCCCAGGGCTTAGGCTCAGAGGCCTACTTAGGAGAACCCAGAGACATGACCTGAAGTTTGTGTCATCTCAAAATTCATATATTGAAATTCTAACTCCCATGATGATGATATTAAAAGTAGAATGTCTATAAAAATAATAGAAAAAAAATATCCGGGTATGGTAGCTCGTGGCTGTAGTTCCAGCTATTAGGGAGACTGAAGTTAGAGGACTGCTAGGGCCCAGGATTTTGAGTCCAGCCTGGGCCACATAGCAAGATCCCTTTCTTAAGAAAAAAGAGGTGCTGCCTTTTGATGATAATTAGGTTATAAGAGCAGAATCCTTATGAATGGGACAAATGCCCTAACAAAAGCAACCGAAGAGAACTTGCTTGTTCCTTTTACCCAGTGAGGACAGAGGTAGGAGGCCCTACCTATGAGGAAGAAGATTCTTACCAGGCACTGTATCTCCTGGCACCTTCATCTTGGACATCCCAGGTTCCAGAACTGAGAAATCAATCTCTGTTATTTATATGCTACCTAGTCTATAGAATTTTGTTGTGGCAGCTGGAATGGACTAAGACACCCCGTATGGAGGAGGGGCATGTCTGCATCTGGGGCCATGAGCATGGTATGTTTTTCCATTTGTTAACATTTTCAGCTATTTCTTTCCTTAGAGTTTCATTGTTCTCTTTATAGAGATCTTTCATATCTTTTGTTAGGTAACTCCTAGATATTTCATCTTCTTTGGCACTACTGTGAATGGAATAGAGTCTTTGACTGCTTTTTCAACTTGGCTGCTGTTGGTATATACAAAGGCTACAGATTTATGAGTGTTGATTTTGTAACCTGAGATGCTGCTGTATTCCTTGATCACTTCT